TAAGTTTAAAAACTAGAACTTTTAGTAACACTCTTTTTTTTATGTCACCCCTCTGTAGTATAAAATTATATATAAAAAAATTAAGAAAAAGATACTATAAATAAAAAGATAATTTCACTTAAAGGTGGGATTTTTTTTCCCTTTAACTTTATTGGATATTTACACTTCCCTATGCTGACTAAGCAGGCGCTAGTACTATCTAGGATAAATTAGAGCCTCTTGGCTTTTTAGATCACTCACCTAATTAGGAATTGCTATTATATTCGTTAAGTTATAACTGTTTAAAAATAAGAACTTTTTATAACACTTTTTTTTTCATATCACCCCTCTGTAGCATAACTAATAATCTATATAAAAAGGTTGTGCGACGTTTTTACTACAATCTTTCTACGATTAAATCAACTTTTCTCTAGAGATTTAAGTACTAAAGTAGGCTTCTCTTCCTTTCTTATCTAACCGATCCATATTATATATTTTCTATCACTAATTACAAAAGAGAGACAGATTGCGATATTGAATAATTAGAATTAGATGGTGAAGTAACTCTATAGCTATGCCAGCTACAAACACTGAAGTATGTTCTTACAGGATAGCTGGGTAAGGTAGTACGTTCTAATGAAAGCCATGAAAGTAGAACGAAAAGTGTTCATGAGATGGGTATCGTGATGAGAAAGCGAATGGCTTCTGTGTAGCCATGGTACATAAAAGTAGATAGAGTGAGCAAGCACGGCCCGTGGTGCGAAATGCAAAAAAAAAAAGTGCAGGAAAGAGAAGTACCAAGAAACAAGTCGCTGAATTACACCATAGGGCGAGGGCCGGATAGAGCGGGATGTTTCCCGTGAGTCATCCGTTAGAGCGCATGCTTTGCCTGCAAAGCGTATTATTTGGAGGAGCTTCTTCCAAACACCAACAACCGACTTTTCTTAGGCTTACCTTTTCCACCTCTCTGCTCGTCCCAGGGTAAGACGTCGTTGATTTGAAGACGTCTACCAAGTCCGAGACGCTCACGAGGAGACTCGTACCAGTGGAGAGACAGTTCGGAAGGAGCAATAGTCGAGGGCGCAATCGAACGAGCATCGCCATTGTCATCGTCATCTTCAGATCCATCAGTGCTGGCTAATGATGATTCGTACAAGGTGGGCAGTGCAGGTGCCTGGGGTGCTCTCCTGTAAGATGCCGTGAATGTATTGCGCTGAACTGGTGGCGGGCCTGTGGGAGCAGTGGGAGCAGTGGGAGCAGCGGGGGCAGTGGGTCGACTGAAATTCTGGACAGGTCGCACGGGGGAATACGGAGGGATGAATTCGTCCGAGGAACGACTGTACGCCACAGAAAGATCGATGCTTCGCGTGGTGATGGGGGGCGGGGGTTGTGGCTGTGGCTGGAAGAGAAAATCATGAGATTCTGGCACAATGTCTGATTTGAATCGATCCTGTAGTTCGGCGACAGGCGCTTCTCTACCCAGGCCCCCTTGACTTGGACGGTCACTCATTTTTCTGAAGATAGTATCTGCCGTATCCATTGTGATGGTATCTGCTGACGTGGTGGAAGAGGCGGGAGAGTGTGGTCGCGAGTGAATGGATCCATCCATGCTCGGGCGGCCACCAGAAGGCGAATCCAAAGCCCTATTTGTCACTGACTGAAAACTGGATCGATCGGTCATTTGTGAGCTGAAGGACGGTGAGTGCAATGAAGTTGGCGTGAGTGGACCATCTGCAAGGTAGCGAACGGTGTTGGGAAATGTAGCAGTTGAAGGCGAAGAGCCAAGACCCATGGCTGTCTCGTGACGAGGCAGGCTGGAGACGGAGATGGAAGCAATCGAGTTTGGCGGGTTCCGTGTGCCATCGGTCATGACCGAGAGGTTGGAATGATTCCATTCAGTGGTTTTGAGATGGGAGCCAAAGGAGCTCTTTGATGAGACGCTGCTTCTGTTGTCCTTGATTGAGGGGTTGGATGTTGGCGAATGTCTCTGCTTGACTGACTCGGGGACGCCGTCCCATTTGGAGTTGACCTTGGGCACATGAGGAGGAAGCTTCTGGCTGGCGTGATAGGCGCCAGAGGGTGGAGTCGATGAACCACTGCTCTGCTTACGCTGCTGGTGGACAATCTGGTCCAAGGCAGCCTGTGAGGGCTCTTTTAGCGAAAGGAAGCCGAGCACGGAGCTGGTCTTCTTCTTCTTCTTGGATGACTTGGAGTCATTGCCAGAAAAGGTGCTCGAATGTAGGGAAGCCAGACTGGATGACGTCAGGGGGGCGGGCTGGGAGGGAGAGTGAGCGAGGGTGGATGGGAGGTTGGTGTTTGGATCCGGGGCGACGGGCGGCTCTTGAGTAGAACAGGCAGGGTGGGGCCCAGAGCCGTGGAAAGGCTCTGGAAGGCTGGCGGACGGCAACGGGTTTCTGTACCTCAGCCTGGGTATGCGCGCCGGGGGCATGGCCAACGACTGTGATTTCGGTACGGTGTCCATGCAGGGCTTAGCGTCGAGTGGAGCCAAAGCAGGCGGCGTTTAATTGGTAGGCTGTTTCATGGGCGGGGCGCACGTCACACAAGCGCCGGTAGTCGAGTGTGTACGTGTAAATAAAGAGACAGCGGATAGTCGCGAGTCGGTGGGTGAGGATAGGAGAAGGTGGGTAATGGCATTGTGCAAGTTATGAAGCCGGGTGGACACATGGACAAGGAAGTCGTGGGACCCGCGTTGGGGAGAGGCAGACGCGCCTTGTGCGAGCGGCAGGCACTCATGGAGAGCAGGCAAGTACGGCTGGCTGGCTGGCTGGCTGGCTGGCTGGCTGGCGGGCAGGCGGGCTGGCGGGCTGTAGGGGCCAGGGGCAACGACGGCCTTTTTTAACCCTTCAGCCATGTGTGTATAGTTAGATGCTGCATACTGCTTGGGCGTGAATGGATGCGAGTAGTGTGCACGCATACATACTGCTCACTGTACTTGGTAAAAGTATACATGCTCTCCATCTCCTTTGCTAGTCCTGGCCGGCCTCCAGCCCCGGCCATTGGTCGGCCTGACAGGTGATTTTTCTCGTGGCTTTTGCCTCGCCCTTTGCAAACCTTGACACGGGGGCTCCTAGTGGGCGCCAGCTGCAAAAGCTTCTGTCAGTTAGATGCAGGCCCGGACGCCTCTTGTTCTGTCTGGCAACACGCCGGGCCGTGGGTGTCGGCTGAGCGACAGGCAGCCCGCAATTATTCGGCCTGGCGTCAGACGACGCGGTCAAGGCCATGGACATGACAGAGGCGTCTGCAGATGCTGGGAACACGCGAAGCAACCTGCGATCGGGGCTTGCAACGGTGCATGCACGGCCCAGGCGTACAGATATACCTGGTTGTTTCATCTTGTCGTCTCGTATACAGTACCGCGGGTGCACGTCACTTTTGGGTGCGTCATCGATGCATGCCATGTCCAAGCCGATGGATGGCCAGACACACACACAACATATAGCTGGTAGTAGTAGTAGTCGTAGTAATAGCAGATGTAGAGAGCGTGTGCCCTGGACCAACATGGATGCACCGAGTAGACTAGTGCTCGACAGGACAGGCAACGAGAGGATGGCGTGCTGCAAAGACAAGTAAGTAGGCGATAGACGAGATGGCCTCACCCACACCCACACCCGTACACCCGACCCTTGGCCACAGGAAATTCCGCCCCGCCCACTGGCCCCTAGGCCTCCTCAGAGCGCTCCGTGAGCAGGCCGGCAAACGGCGAAGACGTGTGATGGGCAGTGTCTAATCGCCGCCGCCCGCACGCGACAAAAGTGAGCGCCCAAGTGCACCGTGGAAGCATCTTTCGGAGATTTAGCACAAACACCCCTACGCCCCTAGGCCGAGACCTTCAGCACGCGCTCTGACCTTCAGCACGCTCCGGCCCCAGTGCCAGTCAGTGCCAGGAGTCTGCGTCCTTCTCCCTCCACGCCGCCATGCCAGCGCTCCTGGTCGACACAAGCACCCGCCCGGCCTCGTCCAGCGATGCCTCGACGCGCTCCCACCACTCGGCCCACCGCTCCAGGTCTCCCACCCCAGACCGCCCGCCCGTGTCGCCTCTGACGCCCACGGCCACGGCTGCCCAGCTAGCTCCGGTGGAGCGCAGCGAAGCTCGACCCCGCCCTGCCCCTCCGCCCACGGCCACCTTCACACCACAGCCGCCCTCGGTCGCCATCTCAGAGTCGGACAATCCCGATGCCATTGCCCTGCGCTCCGCCATATCCCTCCTGCAGCTGCAGCGCGACAAGAGCAAGCGCGACCTCAAGGCCCTCGAGGACCTCAAGGCCGCCGCCATAGCCGACCCCCAAGCCTTTGCCCGCTCGCTCCACCAACAGCGAGCACAGCAGTCGCACTCGTACCAGGACATCCTCACGCCCACCCTATCTGGCCTGGGCCATGACCAAGACGCCACCCATCCAGACGCTCGCAACGACTCGGCCCGCATAGACGCAGAGCCCAGTGCCCCAAGGTTCCCTCCCATCCCACAGCCGCAAAACGTTGTACGGTGTCCCCCCATCAACTGGGACAAGTACCACATCGTCGGCGAACCACTTGACAAGATACACCAAGAGCAAAAGAAGTGGCCGGGTTCGGCAGACCCTCCACGCACAAAGGCGGGACACCGCGCACCGCCCCATTCAGTAGCGGCGCCATACTCGCCATTCACAGACGGAATCAGTGCCCGCGCATCTTCGTCGTCGTCAGCAACACCCCCACAACCACCAAAACACCCAAAGAAGTCTCCCTCGTAAGACGCGGCTGCTGCCGAGTCGACAGTCCCCAATTACACCCCCCCAACCGCCATGCATGGCACACAGTCCCTTAACCCTTCATCTACACTTGGCATCATCACACTTGAAAAACAACAACAACTTGGGAGTACGGGGTTGCTCCACTCGCAAAATCAACGACATGGATGTTTGGCACGATTGACGATGCCCCACACATAGCACACATACTTAGGGCCAAGGAGCAATAGACTCAAATAGCAAAACCCATAGACGAAATACTAGTCTGCAAAAAGATTTCACCTGGTGCTGCGCACTAACACGTGCTTCGCGTTCCATCTGGGTCATGCTCGTGGCGCTGCAGACTGGTCGGTTCGCAGGTGCGCATAGGCATACGTACGCACCAGAGCGGCTGTGCAGCCTACCTCAATGTGGCGCATTCGTTGCCGCTACAACATCTGCCCACACCGGTGTGGTACCGCGGTGAGGATTTGTTTTTTTCTTCTTCTCTCCCCTTTGTCGCCCAACCAGTCAATTTGGACCTGGTCCTGTCAGTCATTCCTGCTTCCCACCCCTGCTTGGACAGGCCTCGCTTAGCGGTACTGTCTACGTCATCCGTGCAGGGCCGCAACAACAATCGCCCAGCACCACGTCAACGTCGTGTCGGTGTGCTAAAAACAGCCAGATCCGTCGCCTGAGATGTTGATCTTGAGGCTGAGCCACTATTTGACTGGCTGGCTGCTCGGCTGCTTCCACGATAAGACCCTGCGCCAGTGACGTGCGGGTCCCAGACTCGTTGCCGTCGTATTCCAGGCTTTGGGCTGGCATGCCGCCTATAAGTGCACTTTGTGCCTTTGGCCGCTGTTTGTGGTCAACAAAGACCTTCAATCGCTTTTACCCGCCTGTCTTCACGCCTCCCTTGTCCACGTACTCTTTCAACACCGTCGCTCACTAGCACTAATCATCGCTGTAATACACCAATAAGCAACTCGCAACAATGCGCTTCATCGCGCTTCTACCCGTCTTATGCTGTACTGCAGCCCTGATTCTCTCATTCCTCTGCCTTTTTGCAGGCCATAAGAAGGGTTTCATGGAAGACTACTCGCTCCTCACACTCAACACCTCGGCCATTGGACAAAACCTCATCGACAGTGCCTCAAACTCCGACTCTACCTTGTCCAACATCATCAATCTCATTCCAGACTCCATCACCGATACAGTCACCAATGAAATCAATGAGAGGATAGATGAGTTCCGCGAGCGTGCTGGCATCGAGGACTGGTACTCAGCCCACATGCTGAACTATTGCGAGGGACAGTACACACCCGCCGAGGTGGCTAATGCGACCCTGAAGCAAGATGACATCAGCAAAAACGTTACCGAATGCTCAAAGAACAAGGCCATGTACAAGTTCAATCCAACCGACATCATTCAGAGAGCCCTAAACAGGTCGGGCATAGACATCACTCTGCAGGACCTTCAATGGCCAGAAGATATCCAGAAGGGCATCGACGCCTTGAATGCTGTCATGGCAGCCATGTTCGTTCTCTACGTCATCGCAATCTGCCTCATCTTCTTGACCCTCGTCGCCAGTCTTGTTGGCATCCTCACCTCAGGAAGACTGAGCGCATGCCTAAATATTGGCCTCAGTCTGCTCGCATTTTTAGCCATTGGCATCGCCAGCGGGCTCGTCACCGCCGTCATGGTCAAGGGTACCGACGTCATCAACGAACACGGAAACCAAATCGGCCTTGAATCGTACTATGGTGGCAAGTTCCTCGCCTTGACATGGGCGGCAACTGGGCTCATGCTCCTTGCTGTCATTGCTTGGTTCGCAGCCCTCTGCTTAGGCCGGAGCGAGCGCCGTTCGCGCGCCCCCAGGAAGTCGGTCATCTAGGAGTATCCACCTAACAAAAACACCACATCGCACAGAGACGTTGCTGGATGAAACAAATGCTTGGATTTGAAGAATCAAATTGCACGTGTGTACGGATACCGGGAGATGCGAATATGTATTATGATTGACTGGATGAGCTGTAACATCTTTCCTTTGTTTGCCTTGTTTGTTATATACCCACCCACCCAGATACCAGATTGCATCTTAGACGATTTGGTGGAGATTTCAGTAGAATTTGAGATATTGAACTCTATTCCCGTATCATGAGTGATGCAGAACGCGGGATGAAGCGTATAGGGACATTAGGAAGCAAGGATGGCGAAGATAGGTAACGAAGCAAGTAAAGAGAAGAACATCTCGTCGATATCAATCAGCTCAATCCTAAACTACTAGTTTTCACAGTGTTAAAGTCAGTCATTACTAAGCTAGAGCTAGCCGAGCAAGCCTTCCAGCCTTGCCTTCCTTCTTTACAAACACCCCGCCATTGCTGCCTTGTACCACACTCAGAGCTTCAACAATCACACCAGATTTCTATCATGCGCCTCATAAACTGCTCAACACTTGAGCTCGAGGAGTTTTTCGGAAGCAAGGTTCCGCCTTATGCAATCCTATCGCACACCTGGGGCAATGACGAGGTGACATTCATGGACTTACCTCTCTATGCACCGGCGACACAAGCCCGAGCGGGATACCAGAAGATTGAGTTCACCTGCAAGCAAGCAATCCGTGATCAACTCAAGTATGCATGGGTCGATACTTGCTGCATTGATAAAAGATCCAGCTCAGAGCTTTCCGAGGCTATCAACTCCATGTATGCCTGGTACCGGGCCGCCCGTCGTTGCTATGCCTATCTCTCAGACGTCGTGGAAGAATACATGGGTGAAGAGTTTCGCAAAAGTAGATGGTTTACCAGAGGCTGGACGCTGCAAGAACTCTTGGCACCAACAGAAGTAGTCTTCTACAACTGCAACTGGCACCGGTTAGGCCTAAGGCTCCACCATTCGCAGTTGATATCCAAAATAACGGGAATAGATGAGGGCGCTTTGGGAATAAGGAGACTCACATGGCCTAAGAACCGTGATATGCTTGGTGCCTATTGTGTTGCGAAAAAAATGGCGTGGGCCTCGTCAAGAGATACGACCCGTATAGAAGACATGGCGTACTGTCTGTTGGGGATGTTCGAAATCAACATGCCACTACTCTATGGGGAAGGTGACCGGGCCTTTCATCGCCTGCAAGAAGAGATCATTCGAAGAGTGAACGATGATTCCATATTTGCTTGGGGACCCCGGATTGACATTAGCCGTCAAACACAACCTATATCAGATATCTTGAGCGATTCAGCCGGTTACAACTGCTCTAGTCACAAGATATTGGCAAGCTCGCCCAAGGACTTCACCAGTTGCCGCAACTTGGAATACGCTGAAAACCCAACCATTCCGCCGACTCTTGCAAGCCTCGGATTGACTATACGATTATCACTGCTGTCTTTATCCAACCAAGATGATCTCTCTAATTCGTACTTTGTTGGACTCCTTAACTGCTCAGTGGGTAAACAAGAGGAATTCCTGGGTATTCTCATCCATGCAGAATCAGACAACAACAAATCTATGACGGTAATGAAACGTGGTAAATTGGTGTACAGAACTTTTGGCTTCAGTACAGTGCTTTTGAGCGCAAGACATGCTCAAGGGGCAGTGGATCAAACAATCACCCTACGAGAATCCCGTGAGGGCTACCCCTCACTCGAATGGGAATGGAAGCAGAGCAAAGTAGACATCGTCATCGAAACATCAGCAACTCTGTTGGACATGGGATATCAACTCATAAAGCCAATATGTTGGATCAAACTCCAATCGCACAGACCAGAGTTCATGCAACATGAATCGATATGGGATCCGGATGTAATGATTCTGAGCCTTCGAAGCAATTCTCGGCTCAATCCCCTGATTGAGTTTCGCTTTGAAGCTCCATTGAATTCTCATTTCTCTACACTTAGCATTTTCTTACATGTTGAAAATAGCAGCGCTATCGCAATGAAGGGAGGGGCATTTTCAGACGATGACAGGCTCAACATTTTCTCCAGCCTTCATCCTGACGCTGCACAAAACGACAATGAAGATGTCACGATTCAGAGTCAGGCAGGGCAGATACATCGAGTTCGTGTTGGGGTTCGCAAAACAACAGTGCATCAACGCCGGATATTCGAGCTTAGTGCCCACACCGTTTTGGCATCAACTTCTTCTTCCTTAGGTGGTTCTGTCTCCTCAAATGTTTCTTTCTCTCTAGATGTCACATCATAGTGAAATCAAATTTACCTTTGGATACCATAGCCTAATGCTTATGGTAATATGCTTCATTTAAAATTGTGCCATTGTTGAGATACGCTATTAGTACCTGTATACGTGTATATAGAACATATCTGTCACTTCAAACGCAAGAATATTCATCCACTTGGTCTGAATAACTAGTTCGCAGAATCAATTTACAGTCGCACACGAAACCACTCAGAAACAGTCCGTAAGCAAGATTTTTATGGACTACCCCTTCCTCCCTCAATTCCAGCCCGCTTTCCACGAAGAGTATTCTAACACAACAACATCACATTTCCTGCACATCCAAGCCCTGGAGAGAGTACTCGTCAAACAACCACAACGCCCAATCATTGACATGGTACATAATAACCCCTTGCCACGGCCACCTGATTTAGGGTGCCCTCGATTGAGGTAATTACTTCAACTACGACTATGATTACTACAATGATCAAAGAGTCCCAGCTCTTCAACGCAACGACAACTACAACTGACACAACAACAGAAGTCCCTTCATCCATGCCTACCTTGCTCAATCCCTGTTTTTTCATCACGTGATCGCACCCCCCCCCCCCACCCCCCCAAGAAAACCCAAGAAAGCACTACTTCTAGCCCATACCCATGTCACACTACCGAGATATGACTACGGTCCTGGTTTCATGTGTAATTGGAGGCGCAAGAGCAGGGTGAGAGAACACATTTATTATCATGTTGGCGTCTGGGCGGCAGGTGAAGAGGTATGATTGAAGCAGTGTTGGAGGTGGAGCGAATTCAGCGTTAGGTTGATGGGAGGTGTGAAGTGGGAGAAGAGAATGTATGTCTACACTGCTCTAGTATTTCACGCACATGTGCATGGGATAAGAAGCCTACCAAGTGTGATTGTGGTATTCGGAATCACTCATTCAACGCAGGACATGACAATAAAAAATATAAGAAGAAAAAAAACTAAACGGGTATCTAAATTCATTTACCTTTAGCAACGTGGTTCGCTCTCTGTTGTCAAGGGGACAAGGGAGATTCGGTCGCCCGATCAACACCACAACCACGGATGCCTACCCAAAACATTTCCCAGCGTACTACTACATGAGTTTGCTGTATATTCATGAAGATGTCGCTTCCCTCGCTCTTGTCCCCCCCCCCCCCCCCACCATGGTAAACCAACAGTCATCTCACGTATATCTATTTCTCTGCCAAGCCAAAATTACCAGGGATACAAATAGACCATCATGTCAGATCTCATGCAAAGCCAGTACTCAGGTAACAGAGACAAGCGACTTTTTCTCATATGTAGCAGGTGTGCGCAATTGTCGAGTCGCGTGCTTGATCCTGTGGCGCTAGCTCATCGCTGGCGGATGATTTCTAGTAAAGACCGGTATCAGTGGAGGCCGAAATCGAGTTGAAGAGGAACAAAGCTTGCGCACCTGTAAGAAATTCCTCGCTGCAGATAAAAAAAGATTTACTCGTTAGCAAAACGTATTCACGGAAGTGATAGAGGGAAAGGGATTGTGTCTCCCAGACCAAGTTTAACTTACAAGCTCAACGTGATATAACCATCGCGATCCTCATCATACTTTTTAAACACATCCGTCATTCTCTTCAAACTGATACACGCCTGGACGAACAGGTCGAAACTGAGTGCATTACGGCCGTCGCGGTCATATGTGCGGTAGAGCAGGGTGACGAATTGCTGAGAAAGGCGGTATCCAAATGCAATCAAGGCTTCGTTGAATTCAGCATAAGATATGCTACCGCTCTGGTCCTGATCAAAGCGGTCGAAAAGAGCGCGCCAGGCAGAGAGGAAACCCCAGAGGCCACTGTACAAGTAAAAAAAAAAGAAATTGTTAGTATGTGAATCTCGTCATGAGTATGAAAAGAGTGAAGAAAAAATGGATGACATACCAAAACTCGTCAAAATTGACTGTGCCGGATTTGTTGGTGTCAAACATTCGAATCATCATGCGTACAGTATGGGGATCGAAAGGCGTCCAGTCACCGTTTACGAGAGCAGTTCGCAGCTCAGCTTCTGTAAGCTCACCACTTCCTGTCGCAATTGTTAGCTACTTGTCAATTTGACCGACGGCAGACATGGCATACTGTCTTTGTCCACGGCGCCAAATAGTCTCCACAAGGCCTCACGATCATTTCCATCTCTTGGCGGTGCCGGCGCTGGCGTTGGTGGGGGTCTTGACTGCTGCGCAAGCTGAGGTCTTCCATGATAGCCCTGTGGTGGCGGTCCATGGCCATAGTTTGCTGGTGGAGGCGATCCAAGGCCCATTCTGTTGTCTTGTCTTGAATCATAACGGCTTTCATAACGCGCATCGTTGTATGCGCCGGGCGGGGGTCTGCTGTCATATCCTCCTCCTCCACCTCCTGCACCGCGACCACCCCCTCCGCCATAGCGGTCGTCTGGACGGGTATCGTATCGCTGGTTGGGAACAGGTGGGGGAGGTTTGTTGTAGTCAGGGCGCGCAGAGCTTATGCGCGGTGGGCGTGAGGCCGTGGTAGCGTTTTGCGACATCATAGCTGCAGCCTGAGCTACGTCAGTTTTGCACCTGTAGTAGTATTGCAAATCGGACAAAGACACACCTGTTCGGGCTCCGCGTGCATGGGCAGCCTGTCTGGGTTGAACCCTTTGTTATATGCCATGTTGAGGTTGAATTGGTTGTGGGCTTTTGGAGGGGTGAAAGCAAGTTGTTGGCAAGACCGAGGGCTGATATATGAATGTGACACCAAGCTTCAGGTGCTCGGCGATCGCAAACAGCCGTCAGGTGGACAGGGGGGTGGGAAAGTTCGGTTGCGAGGAAGATGCCAGCAAGGGGACGCACCGGTAGACGAGGACGCGGTCAAAGAAACGATACGGATTCAAACAGTCAAAGCCCAATCTTGGGTTCCTTCACAGCCCATTTGCGGCTGGCACCCACAGCGAGGGTGCCTTGGGTAAAGGCGCAGCCGCAGCGGCAAGCGTGGCGGGGCACACTGGCTTGGCCCTATGACGCTGCATACCCACCTTCACCATCACACGCGAGGATAACTCCAGTCAGCAACCCAAGTCATCCAATCACTGCACTCGCCGGCTTTCTGGCCTGGCGCGAGCTGGTCTTTCGTCGCGCCACTTTCCGGCATGGGACTGATTCGGTGGTTCTAGAAACTCGGCCGACATGTCATTTGTATTACTATGTATGTACAAAGAAGAAACAGTCTTGACCTTTGCTCAACTCATCGTTCGTCATGCTATTGCCAGTGTGCTTAGAAAATACCCGCCCGCAGTCATCAAATTGTAAAAAGAGATAGTGAATAGCAGACGATAAACAACAACAACAGCTGCCTTGGGTATCCAACGCCCCTGCACCCAAAATTCAACAACAAACAGGATACCAGTAATATGTGGGTTACATGCATCGAGCATGGCTAGCTTTCCCAAAATCAAAAGCAAAAGAAAGAAACAGCCTGGTCGAACATGGTATGCTTGTATAATTACAGACGACCGGGGCAAAGTGGCCGTGCATAGAGAGAAAAAAAAGGGTTCCGCACCCGTTGCTCACATCACGTCTTGACCCGCTTCTGATTGCCGTCATCCGACCCTTGATCCGATGTCTTTCGCTTGCGCTCTGCAGAGTCGTCCCGCGCAAAGCTAGGGCCGTTTGGAGCTACTGGAGTCTGAAAGGTCAAGGGACTCGGCAGCATGTTGGAATCGCGGCCAAACCCCCATTCAGGGTAAAAGCTAGATGGAGAAGGAAGAAGGCCATTCTCCACAAATCGGCTGGGGAGTGCCGAGATTGGGGTTTCGATGTCGTTGCTTCTCCCGTATGAGTTACTATTTGACGGTGGTGGGGGACGAGCGAATGGGTTTGGTGGGCCTGTTGCACCAGCACTAAGCAACGAATTGGCGCTCGGCGAAGGCGGAGGAAGGACAACGCCTGAAGAATGCGATGCGTCGGTGCTTCGTCCTGGTGTTGCGCCAGTTGTGCCAGAATCCTTGGGCGATGAGTCGGCAGTTGCGCTGCCAGCATCCGAGTGTTCACTTGGAATTTGCACCCTCAGTCTTGGTTTGCTCTCACCCATGCGAAGGCTGTTTGTGCGAGATGGTGGGGGAATAATGGGCACTGAAGATGTAGACTGTGTTCGCTGCGGTGGTGGCTGGACTTGCGGGGGCTGCGGCTGAGGTTTTGGCTCTCCATCTGGCTGCGGTCGCTGTATGGTAGCTACATCAATAGACTGGGCTCGATTTTCCTGTTTGATAAATGGAGCTTCGTTGCGTTGTGCGTTGGCATTGCTGTTGCTGCTACTACCCCAATGCGCTGCTAGCATGGACTGGCTGTCGTCGATTGGAGTGAAAATACTGTGTCTGGCAGATGCATGCAGGGGTTTCGGCTGAGGAAGAGGGGGGCTCTGAAAGTTGTTCTGCTGGGGCGGAGATGGGACGATGATGGTAGGTTGTTCTGGGCGTTCCTGCTGTGGCTGCGGGGGCTGAGGCGGTGGAGGCGGCGGGGGCTGTTGTTGCTGTTGTTGTTGCTGCTGCTGTTGTTGTGCCTGAGCCTGCGCTTGTGCCTGCGCTTGTGCCTGTGCCTGTGCCTGTGCCTGTGCCTGTGCCTGTGCCTGCGCTTGCGCTTGCGCCTGTTGATCTTGCTGCTGCTGCTGCTGCTGGAAGGTGGGTGGCATAGACTGCCGGCGTTGTTGCTCCTGTTGCATGTACTGAACCTGGGGATGTGCAGGTATTGGATGCGAGTATTGATACTGTGAGGCTGGTGGAGTGGGCTGGGGCTTCGGGGCCATCTGCGGAGCTGGCTGCGGGTTGTAGAAAGGCGGGTTTGGCATGTAGGCATAGTTGTTGGCAGGCGCTGGGGGTTGCGAGGGGTAGGGCTGGGGTGGAGCGAGGTTTGAACTGGGACGGCGTATGTGTCCGACCCTCGAGCTGGGTCGCGACAGATGGTGGGGAGGCTGGGGTGAGGGGCCGCGTTGCTGGAAGGCGCCATTTCCAATGGGAGGCGACATGGAGGGGGCAGCGTGTCGGATGTGCTGGAACTGGGAATGCTGCATATGATGGGGCATCATGGGGTGGTCGGGGGGCGTGTGCGAGTCTGGGGGAAGGGGGGCGTCTTCGTCGTCATCATCGTCGTCGTCGCCGTCCTTCTTGCCCATGAAGTCCTCGGGGCCCTTGTGCTCGTGTGCGCCGCCATACTGGGTAACCTGTCAGTGCCATGCCGTTTTAGCGCGACTCTCTATCCAGGGCCAATGGGGGAGTGCCTACGTATTGGTAGCGACCAATGGTCTCGTTGATGTCGCCCGATGAGAACTCGTACAGCTTCTTGTTGTGGCCGAAGATGATGACAGCCACGTCGACGGAACAGAGGACGGAGAGCTCGTGGGCCTTTTTGAACAGGCCGCCCTTGCGCTTGAGGAAGGTGCTGTGGATGGTCAGCTCTGCTGGGACAGCAATGGGCGCGATGAGGCGCGATGGGAGGGGATGGGAGGGAGAAGATGGGGTCGAGTGGACGTACACGGAGCGGTTGCGGTCGTCCTTGATGGCCTTGATCTCAATCTTTCTGCGGCCCATGATGGATGGAGGATGCTAGACGTCCAAGCGCATGGAGCGACGGGGAGGTGGGCTGGCAAAGGGTCGTGGAGCACAAGAGAATCGAGGTGGTATGAGTAGCTTGCGCGGCACGCTCACGGCCAGTGTTTCAGCAGCAGAGGGCGGGCGGGCGGCCAAAGTCGGCGCGGTGGGCGAGGCGGATCGTCTCGGCGACCCGAGGGCTATATGGGCTGGGGGCAGCGCAGAGGGGGGTGATGGGCGAGTTGCAGCAGTGTGTAGGCGCGGTGTTGCTGAGGCTCTGGGCTGGGCGAAATGTGGTTTGGAGAGAGCGACGATGGAGCGGGCGGGCGCCCCTATATTTAGAAGCCTGGCGTCTGCGCTCGCCAGGCCGTGTCGTCGCTAATATGCCCGCTTACGGCCTATTTGCCTGCTTTGGCCCGGCCAGCCCACCCTCTAGCCGTCCAGAGTTATTTTAAGGCCATATCCATCGCCGTGCTACTCTACTGCTGCCTCCGCTGCTGGCCGCTCGCCCTCGACTCGGGCTGCCGCAGAGACTGCCTGCCTGCTGGCAGATGCATGGCCAGCCTCGACCCGTGCAACACGTCCTGAAATCACCAGGCCCAGTGCGCCCTTTGCCAAGCCGCGTCTCAATGGCAACACATGGCGACGCATCCCATCTCGAGCAGCTCGCCTCGCCGTCGGAGGCGGGGAATGCCCCCATCTGAAACTGCGGCCTAATTGCTCCCCCTTGATCATACTGCTGACCTATCCGCCTTGTGCGGCACTGCTCCTCGCTCAGAGCCGCATGGCCCTGTCGGCACTTGGGGACTTGTCCTGCTCTGCGACGTCAAGACACGGGTGCACGCCGCGCCTGCACCCTGACCTCACGCCCAAACAACCGCCTCGGTGATGTTGGATTAGGGCTCGCACCACCGCGCTTCCTAGCGCGCATCGCGCCCCCGAAACGCGATATTTTTAGCACCGTCGTGCATGTCCCCAAATCCACTCCAATGACGCACCTCGACCACAACTGCCTCACCCACACTTGGCCCATCAACCCATCCTTGGACCCTCTCTCCTTCTTCATGGCTTCTTTGCCCAGCAGCCCCTCTCGTTCCCCAGTTGCCATTGCTCATCTCACCTGCATAGCCGCCCGCTTCCTTCGCATTGTCGTCGCTTGGACTTTGCTAGCTTCTGCTTTCCCCGTCCGTATACCCCACCTGCGGGGCCGCAGTCCGTGATTAGACAAGATCCGCCTGTACGAACAGCACCTGCGCCGTATCGATGCAGTCGTCTAATCCTTCTAATTGGCCCATCCGCCATCCTCATATCGCTCCGAGGCAACCAGCATGGTCACCTCTACAAAACCAACCCCATGCATCTCAAGTGCAGGTACACCATCTGCCTTCTATTCTTAGTCACACATGTCCCAATACCAACTTCCTCTCCATTTCCTACTCGTCATCGGCACAATACCCGCGGCACATCATATGCAGGTACACCCACACGTCATGCTATTCCAGACCACCAAATAGCCCGAGCCGACAAAACCTCATGTCGCTCACAACTTCATACTTGACCGCACAAGCGACATGTTAGACGGATAAGCTTGCATACACACAGCTATTCCTGAGAAAACCATGCCACATGCAGCCTGCAGAGCTAATTGTGTCTCTTCTTTTCTTAACCGCAACAACAACAACAGTCTCCACCTCCAGTGTAACCACTCTTCGCTTACTCCATCTTAACACTCACTCTTATAGCACTACTTCATCTACCGCCCAACGCCACACTATACCTGAAACCCTGGTTTGCATTTCGTATCCTTTTCTCTGTCCCCTTCTTTTTCTCTCTCCTTTTTTCACTTCGCAAAATACCCATTTGCATCCGGGGCTAGCATCCGACGGTCGTAATACAAAAACGTAAGACCAACACAAGACCAATACAAGACTTACAAAAAGACAGGGGGGGAGGGGGAGCAATGTTGGCATGTCATGACACGCCATATTACTCGTTCAAAACACTTAAGTCAGCTATAATATCGTAGGTATATACGAATACGAAACTTAACCCTTCGCTTGAAATTACCCAACAATATCAACATCTGGCCCTCACAACAAAGAACAATTGCGAAGTTTTTGTTTTCGGCTGGAAATTGGACATAAGCACTATATCGTACGAGATTCATATTATGAGCCCACGTCGCTGAAGGGGGAAATGAAGAGAGGGGAAAGAAAAAGGACATAAAAAAGCCAAAAGAGGTTAGAAAAAGAATTGATCAGATGATATAAAAATTGAGATATCAAGGAATAAGTGGTAAGCATACTTATGTAACTTTGCAAAGTATTATCGAACTTGAAATCACAAATCACCCGAGAACAAAAAAAAACACGCACACAAAAGACAGAGATACAGACACAAATCATAACCTCTCCTCTCCTCACAGCACCATCAATCCCTCCACACCTCACTTGAACAGCAAAAAAATTCAAACAAATACAACCCATGCATATGCACGCACACACACGCACGCACAAACACAATCTCTTACATCTGCATTAAAATTCCTCTTTCTCCACCCACTCCACACCCCTTCTTATTCCTCTCTCCCCCTTTTCCACACGCACACGCAATCACCACATGCACGACGACGCAGAGAAGGGGAAAGGGGGGAGGGGAGAGAGCACTACAACACATGTACATAGACACCAATGTACATTCCTCCCAAGGTATCTTAACAAATAACGAAGAAAAATGAGAGAAGAGGGAAAAAAGATGAAGAAACAAACAGACAACCTAAAGGCTACTCTCCATCACATATATGTCTCAAGTTTGAAAGTGGTTAATAAGTGATTACAGCCTATTGGGAATAACACACACATACACACCCACAGAGAGAGAGAGCGTGCGGCAGGATAAAAAAAAGCAAACTTGGACCAATTGTCGTAATAAGAAAAAAGGTATAACTGGGGAAACATCCGCAAAATCGGAGAAAAAGGGTATCGAGCTCTTTATACGCTTGGAAATCAGACGGGGGCGGTCTTGTAATGCTGCAAGGAATCTGCCCTCTCATGTTAGTTCCACGCTCCTCATAAAGCTAACAACAAGAAGCCTTGGCCCTTACCACTGCACAATCTACCACTGTCTGCCCGCGCCAGGTCCACTTGCAACTGGCTGGCCGTCGACATTGCCAGTCAGCTCAGCCACACGTGCCTTGATGCGCGCAACACGGCTCTCAATCGTCTCCTCGCCGCTCGTCTCGCCTTCATCAGTCCGCTGGCTCTGGCTCTGGCTTCGGCTACGGCGGACCTGCTCCTCGCTCAATCTGGCTGCACGGTCTGCCGCATTCTTCCTGATCTGCGCCCATCGGTCGTGCGATGGTGACTGCTGCTTGGCGAACTCGACAGACTCCTCCGACACATCGTCTGCTTCATGAGGTGCACGTTGAGTTGGCGTCCTTGGGTTGGCCTGTTGAACTGGTCGTCGGGGTACAGATGGAGCTACGGCGGCATCTTCATCGCTATCTTCAGGAACGAAAGCAGGCATTTCCTCCATTGGGCCTTGGTCAAATCGAGAAAAGGCTTTGTCAATTTCTTGCTGGGTAGCAGGGCCGCCAGGCATAGGTTCAGCAGATGAATTGGGCTCGGGTATGCCGGTAGAGGACTCGGCAGGGCTAGGGTCAAACTTTGGTGATGGGGCCCGTACAGGCTCGGGCTGTTCATCAGTGTATGTTGGAGATGGTACTCGTGCGCTAGCTTGGCGGTCGTCAACTCGAGACTCGCTTCGGACAGCATCCGGTGGGAAGTAAGAATCATCCGCGGACTGACCAGCTGCTGGTGTCTCCGTCTTCTTCCTACCGAACAGCTTTCGGAAACCTCCTTCCTTCTTCTTGAGCTTGGCCGGCGATTGCTTCTTTTCAGGCACGGTCCCCTTATCCTCACTGACACGATCTTTGGGCTGGGAGGCCACTGCTTTCCTCAGAGCAGGATGCTGACTGGGAGTCGTAGATGCCTGGGCAGACTTGTCGTCAGGAAGAGGCGTCTCTTCGGGAGACAACGTCTTCTCTGGACCAGATGATGTTTGGTATGACTTGACCGGAGCGCGTGGCGACTGAATAGGCGAGTCTGGCCAAGGCACTGGCGTAACGGATTCATCGGGATCCTTCTCTGATTTGGGTAGAGGAGGCAATTCGCGGTTCGATGCATTCGAGGGCATTGGTGACGTGCGTCCGTTAGCGGTCAAGTGCAAATTGTTCTTTGACCCCTTGCCAGCACTAGTATCACCCAGGTACTGTGCGCGGAGGGCGTCACGATCGAGCGCAGCCTCGCCAAATTTCTTGTCCCATTTCATCGCTGGACCAGCCTCGTTGACCAAGTGTGGCTGTAAGGTCAGTACGCTGTTTGTCTTGATGGATGTGGTGTCTTCATGGCGTCCTCGACGTTGGGCAAGCTCCTTTGCATCCTTCTCATCTCGCTCGCCTTGGGCCAACTTTGCAGCTGCAGCCTGGATTCTCGCGTGCTGGTCTGGTCCGATGCTAGTCTTGCTCATGGGCGTGTCGGTAGTAGAGCGGTTGTAGGGCTCCTTTAGAGATGGCTTCTTGCCGGTTGACTTGCGCCGACCAAGTCGCCCACGTTTTGTGAAACTGAACTTTGATTTCTTCTCCACAATGTACGCACCTTCCTCAGGACCATCCGAAGCACCCTTGACCTGCTCTTCCATGACCAGCCATTTTGCGCCCTGGATGCGCGTCTCGATTAACGTGCATCGACCGAAGGCGGCCTTGCGATCCGCGGTCTCTTCAGAAGCCAGACTGATCATCCACACCCACCAAAACGTTTCGTCGAGCTCGAATTTGGTGATACTAGCCAATTCACCAGGGTCAAGATCGTCTTCTTTGAGCCCGTTGCGCATGTGGGATTGCGAGCTGTGTACACGATGCTCACCCAGAGGCGGCAGCTTCTGGTTAGGCATCAGGAGAGTGGTTGGTGGAGATTTATTGTTCTCGTCTGCGAACCCAGAGGACAGGAAATCTGCCCACGAAGGAGTCGTAGGGCGACCAAAGTCGGCATTCTTTGTGCGTGCAGCCGGCCCAAAGGTAGAAAAGTCGCTTGGACCGCCACCTAGCGAGGATCCGTTAGTAGTGCCGGGATTATCCAAGATGCCTGCGAATCCAAAGTCCTCAAAGCGGGACCACGAGGGATCTGGTGTAGTGGGATCTGTCAAACTTGCTACGTTAGACTGGTTGGCGGTTGAAATGCACTCGAGCACTCTGCGACACTCATCAGTCAGAGCTTTGACTGTATCCTCGTACTCTGAAAACCTCTGCAAGGCTCGGTCGTCGTCTCGGTACTCGAAGTGTTTTGCGCGGCGGAGCAGGGCAAATGGCGTAGGCGAGACCGAATCTACGATCATGACTACCTTGGTCGTGCGGGTCTGCATCAGAGTGGGTACCTGGGGAGGATATTCAGTCTGGGAGAGTAGGGCTTGAAGGGACCGTGGTAGAGTGGATATGGCTCCGACCACATTTGTGTCTGGTGAAAGCGATCGCAGATAGGCGAAGAAGAGATGACTTGCTGCATCCGCGGCCCTAAAGACAAGTCAGCAATTGTTTTTTTTGGAGGAATGCAGTGCAGCCTGTGGGCTTACTTCTCCCATGTGCGGTATCCTCCGTCGAAACCCTTGTTGTCTTCATGAAACTCGAATGCCCACCAGCCTGCAAGACGAGAAAGCTTTCTACCACCCATGCCATTAGTCTTGCCTCGGGCAGCCACAGAAGACAATAGGTCAAAGAAGTCAAAGATTATGCTTTTGCGTGACTCAGAATCGACGCTCATGGGGATAAAGGTGTCGAAAGAATGTCGGGCAAAGTTCGAGTCTGGATATATCGAGTCAGCAAGTGAGGAGGGGTGATGAGAGGAGAGGCTCTGTTCAAGTACTCACCAGACTCGCCAATGCGAAAGAGCTCATATGCATCCCAGGTGACTACGCCGCCGGGCAGCCTGCTCCAGCACCACTTGATGATACTGCATAGCGTCTGTATCTGTCAGTACAAGGCACTGTCTGGGGAGGTGGGGAGGTGGAGGGGTAGTGTACCAAGGGTGCGGTCAGACGCAATTCTTGTGCCAGCTGCTCGCCGGAAAACTGGCCTGTTTCTTCGTAGGCGGCCTTGAAGAAGTTGCGGACGAAGTTGCGCGAGGCGCTTGTGTCTGAGGTGGGGCGAAAGGGCAGTAGCATAAAGGGCATATCCAGAGCTGGAGTGCGGGTCAGTCGGGGCTGGACAGAGGCCAATTCGCAGCGTCGACTTACCCCTCGACTTGATTTCCTGTGTGCAGACGTGGACGAGCTCCTGGATCTCTTCTGGTGCCACCTCTTTGCGCGTCCATGACTCTTCCCAGCGAGGCTTGGGCGGAGCGGCGGGCTCGGGAGCCGTCTTTGACTTTTGCTTGTCCTTTGAATTGAAGACATTCTTGAAGAAGGGCATGGTGAGGAAGGGCGGGCAGCCTGGCCTCTATGGTGGTGTGAGGGTGGGTGGTGTGCCGGAGTATTTACTTTGAGCCCCTGCCCGGGAGATAATCACTGAGGGCGGCGCGCGACGCGGCCTGGGGCGGTGCGGTGCGATGCGGTACAGTGCAGACGCAGGGACCTGGGCTATTTGGGGTCAGGACCGGATTGCTTTTTGGGGGCTCGCAGTGTGTGGAAATGGCATGCAGCCAAAAAAGAAAACGGCGGGCGGGCGCGAGATGTCGGCAACTGCTTTTGGCCGCCGCAGGAGAGGAGTATCACTGGTGGCGGGCGGGAAAGGAGAAAGGCGAGCCAGGGCAGTTGATGCTCGTTTGGGCCCTAGCGAAATAACGCGGCCGTCAGGCGTAAGTATGCCATGGCATCCCACCGCCTGTGTCCATGCCTCGCCGCCCCCCTGTCGCGCCAAGCGGGCTGCCAGAACGCGCTGTGTCCTATCCCTCCCTCTCCTTCATTCTCGCTCGCCCTGCGCCCGCCCACCAGTGCCTCCGTTTCGCATCGCTGCTCTGCTGCCACTGTGCGTGCTAGTCGCCAGCACCACACCGAGCCCCGGCCGTCTGCATCTTCCCCGCCGCCTGCCCTCGCTCCAGCCTGCAATTGGTGCGCCCGCCGTGATGCGTTGTCCTCTCTTTGCATCATCCACCGCCTCGTGTCTGAGAGCACGTCGCCCCCCTCGGACGCCCCCCTCGCTCATTGCCCCAGACGGCCATATCCTAGCCTCCAACGCCCAAAGCAATTCCGCACAGTGCCTCGTCGAACTTGTCACGGGCCCTGCTGTCCTTGCATTGTCTGCTGCTGATCACACTAGCTCCCGACTCCAAAGCGCCGTTGTCTCGTATCTACCTCTTTCTTCTCTGCTTCCGGCTGCCCATAAGCCGCATTTCCGCTGTCAATGACATTGCTCGCCCTCGTGTCGCCCCCGAGTGCCTGAGGCGGTTGTAGCAACGTCTGACATCACATCCTGCCCTATGCATGGTACTTACATGTCCCTGTGCCGCCTTATCTCTACCAGCCGACGCGTGTGGGGCTGCCATCTGCAAACACGTCTAGCTGATGGCCCGTGGCCATCACGCGCCATCATGTCCTTGTATCTACGCCAACGCGCTTCCATGTAACACATACGCAGTCACAGGTTGATGGAGCGGCACCCAGGTGAAGGCAGCCTCATCGCAGCCACACCGCAGCCACATGGCTTCATACTTGTGTACATATGGCGCAGAGCTGACTCGATGCTGGGCACTTGTGTGACAACGGCGTCAAGCGCATCACGTCCCCTGAAAAACATCCGCCGGTGCCTTTCCTGCCTAGGTGTAGTGCTACAAACAACAGTCAGCCCTCAGCTCTTGCTGCCCATCTTGTCCGCATAGGATGGTGCAACATGGCCCAACATGGGCCCTTGTAGTGCGTGACAGCGAAAGCCCTCCCATCTGTGACTACACTCATGGTAGGTAGTAACGAGCGAACACCCCAAAGCAACCGCACCACCGGAACACTAGCCCGACCCTCTCTCTCTTCCCACCCAGCCGCATCCCCCTCTCTGCGTTCGCCCACCAAAAAGCACAACTCGGGCCTTTTTCTGCGTTTATGCTTTTGCCCACCATCAATGCTCAGGCAATCGTTCTATGCACATGCGCCAAGTCCCAAAGCACGTGTTTTCGTGATCTGCGCTAGTAGGACACGCTCAGCCAATTGCGGCCTAGCCTTCCGACCCGCCCAAACACCGCCACTCGTTGCGTTGTCCTACTACCGCGGACCCAAGTGCAAAAGCATCGTGACACTGGTCAAAGCTGCCATCGTGGCTACTCAGCCGCATACAACTCCTCGAATAGCATTCTCTCCCTCTTCTGTCATTTCCACCAGCACGTCAATCCCCACTACGGGGCTTTGACCAAACTCGAGTCCAATGCCAGCCCAGACGGCCTGCCCGATCTCAGAGGTTGATCGAGCATTGTCTGCCTACGTCAATTCTCGCCAAGATACACTACGCATTCGACGCACGCTATCAAAATACTTGACATCTACCCTTCGGCCAGCCAATGCATCAACTCAGCTCCACCATCTGAACCATGAGTGTCCCCAGAACCTGTCCGCTGCCAACACAAATCCTCCTGGCCTGAAAGATAGTCGTCTTGAATACCTTCAAGCGCTTCGGGCTCGCGCCAAAGCACAGGCAAAACACAATGAGCTCCAAGCTTCGTTACAACAGCTGCGCACCCGTCACGTGGACGACAATCCCACCCAACCGGAACCCGAGCACGACGACAATGTCACCCAAGGTTATGTTTTTCTACTACGGCAGCGTCGCCGGCATGCAGAGCTTCAGGTCATCCAAGAATCTCTGGAAAAACTCCTAAACGCAAAGCCCTCCACGCCTTCCTCAGATCCTCGAGATATAGTCAAACGCGCAATTGGCGACCAACCTGATGTCCCTGCAGAGCGTCTGGACAATCTTTCCCAAACCGATGATGACCAATTATCGATTTTCAAATTGAAGCAACAAGTTCTCGAGGCAAGAGCAAGCATGGAGCGAGCTCAAGCCGCAAAAACAAAAGCACAGGACACAGCACCCAGTGCCCCGTCGGCAACTCTCCAATCGCAAGTCTATGCTCTCGAACAAGCAAGAAATGAACTCGTCGACTGGATACAGGGGGAACTGGCCAAGCTCGAGGAAGAAAGCATTTTCCTTGAAGACGCCTCACCCATCAAGCGTCCAGTCAAGAACGGCACTTCAGCTGCTGCAACCGACACGACCAACTCTGCAATTGACCGTGCCTCAGCAACAGCAAAGATCCAAGCCTCCTACGACAAATACACCGCCGCGCGCGCCAATCTCCTCGAGGCCCATCTCAGTCTCCAGAACCCTGCACCAGCAACCAATGCAGAAGACGACTCTGCGACAAATGACAACAATGCCCTCTCTCCACCCACACCAGTAAACGCAAACACGGCATCTGACTCGTCGAAACCATCCAACCCCATATCTAAACTCCTCCCTTACCTTCCTCCCCTCGCACACATTGCAACCAGCGAGCGCGCACTCACCCAACGCACCGTCCATCTTGCCGCCCACCTCGCTGCTGCAGACCAAGAGGCACAAGAAGCTCTGGCACGGCTGTCGGGCGAAAGCCATTTGCTACCTGCTGCTGGGGGTTCCAAGGAGGCCGCCGCATGGGCTAGGATGGCAGTCGAGGCCGACGCTGCTACTGAAGCCCTTGTCAAGGAGCGACTGGACGAGAGTGCCAAGGAGGTAGCTAGTGTAGCTATGGTTGTCGACTTGTGTTCGTTGCAGAGTCGGGTTCTCGATACTGTGTAATGAGACCGAAGGGGGTCAGTAGGTATTTACCTTCATTCTTTTCTTTCTCTCTTCACCTATTAGAGTGGATGCCAGTTGTTGGAAATGCAAAATTAAGCATGATGAACCCATTTTTGATCTTCTTCTAGGATATAGCTAAAACCACTATAAACTCCTTCTCGAGTCCAGACATTTTCAATCCCATCGTTACTTCCGATTGAATCGTCCTATTCCCCCCCCCAACAATACTTAAACCTCCCTCCATACTTTGCCAGCACTACTGACCCGGTCACTATACCCCAAGTCCCTATACTCCCTCCCAGAGCCACCCCGCTCACTTCCCTCCGCAAGCATCTTGACCTCCCTTCTCTCCTCCACAAACGTCGCCGGCCGCCCATTTTCATCGATACCCTTCCACGTCCTCGTCACCACCATCACATCCCCCGAGCCCGTACTACTACAGTCTGTATGGTCTTCCTCTCTAGAATGAACAGGCAGAGACGCAACCGACCGTCTACCATCTAGTGCTTTTGTGCGCGAGACATGGCGGTACAGAGGCGGTGGTGATGGTGATTTGGCACGATCAGAGTGCTGCAGTGGATGATGAGATGAGCGTCGAATAGGTAGAGGAGAAATATGGCGAACGCGAATCTCTTCGTACTCTCTGCTTCTTCTCTGGGGAGGAGAAGGTGAAGGCGAGATACCACGCTGCTTGTCCACTCGCATCTCTTCTTCATAGTCTTTTTCGTCCATTGGAGAGCAGTACCTTGTGCGAACTTTTTCAAAGTCCTGGTTTGGGCGTGGTTTAGGTCGGGTGTCATACTGCGCGCGCTCTTGCACACGCTCGCGAGAGTGATCTTGGTGATACTCAGACTTCTTTTTGTTGCCACCGTCTTCATAAGCGTATCTTGGTCTTCTGATCGGTTCCCGGTCTGACAATTCCTCTCTTCGTTCGCCGCTGAACCGGACACGAGGTCCTCCGACCTCGATGTGCACGCTTTGCTCGCTTGCGCGCATACTGGCTCTCCGTTGTGACTTTGTGTCGCGATGGTCAGAGCTACCAGGTTTCAAGATGCTACAGGTTGGTGATTCTGGATGTTGACGAGGTATCGACTCGGCGTTGCTACAAGTCTCGTCCGAGGCGCGAAAGGAGGTATGTTGGCGGTCCGAAACGACTGTTCGAAATGGCAGGGGATGTGATATGAGATGGGATTCTGCTTCTTCACTTCGCCTTTCTCCGCGAGATCTGACGCGAGAGAGAGATGTACTCGCATTTCTACGTCGGTGTTCCTGCGAATCGCTACGATAGACAACTCTGGTTGATCTTGGCCTGGAGGGCGGAGGAGGAGAGGGACTGAGTTCGACAATCCTAGAACTCTGGCGACGTAGAGATTTTCTCTCCACGTCTCTATACGAATGGGCCCGAACAATGTCTGGAGGAGGCCATACTTCGTCTGACTTCGCTGCACAGCTCATGGGCGGCCCAAATGGTACAGAGCACGCCTCATCGGCCCGCCTTGGCACCATACGTACAATATCAGGCGGGGGCCACACCTCGCTAGTGTACCTTGTAGAATGACAAGGACTAGATGAGGATCTCCGAGCTGCTCGATCCTTTCTTGATGCCTGTTGGAATGCCCCTAAACCCAGATGTACGAGGCTGGACTCGCGTTTCACTACCCTAGGTCGACTTGGAGAGTACCTGTTCCCGTAAACCTCTTCTCTACTTCTTCGTCTACCTCTAGACTCATCTTGTTCAGCGTCGACGCGGAATGGCTCCCTAGGCCAATCGCAGGGCTCGTCAGCTATGCACTTGCGGATGCGAGTATAGCGACTGCTCGACCGATATAAGTTGTTAAGCTTCTTCTTGCATCTGCGGCACGGCGTGGAAACTAAAGGCTTGCCGGGAACGATTGGGTTATTTCGGTGGAAGCCTGCAGAGCGCATCTGACCGCAGTGACTGCAGGTATGACAGAGCATAACTGGCACGACCACTTCTTCCACTAGCGGCGCTTGGTCTGTCTGAGCTGATTCATGACTATGATAATGATACTCTTCCCTCCTTTGTCTCGAACTTGATCGCACCATTTCTTGAGTGTGGCTGCGAGATGCTGGGACGACGGCACCTGCGATTGGGTTGTCGCGACGGCTGGCCATTCCGCTATGTGAATGGTTGTATGGCCACCCACTATGACTCAATGGGGGCGGGGGTTGTGCAATGTAGCTTCCAGGCCTTTGAGAGTATCCTTGAAACCCGCTTCCCGATGACGCCTGTTGCTGTGCTTGAGGATCGCCTAGTGGCGGCGGACGCTGCGGAATGCCGTTTGGACCATATACCCCCAGCCCATAGCTGGGCTGAGAATATCCGCCTTGGTACCCAGGAAACGATGCGACAGAAGACGAGGCTGCCGGTGGTGGTGTCGGTGCTGCAGGGGGCACTCCGAGCCCAGGGAATTGCTACTTGTGTGTGAGCAGTGGTACTCTATGATACCAAAATACAGAGTCCATGGCAAAAACTCCTACAGTCGTTTGTTAGTCAATCATAAGTGCCAGACTATTGGAGTACACTTACACTTGATAAAGATACGGATTGGCCGGCTGAGTAACTGACCCAGGATACTGAGCAAGAGGCTGACTTGGGCTCTGAGCTTGCCCGTTGTCGCTATTCGCGCGGCCTATGTATGACTCGAAAGCTCTTCTCTGTTCTTCGTTCGCCATCTGGTGCTTTGGGGTAGGTGCGCCCGTGCAGGTCAAGGAGTAAGGAAAGATCGCTGAGCAGTCGCAGCCTATACCAGTCAAGCGTGCGCGACACGGAAAGTGTGATGGAGCAGAGCAAAGCAAAGCAGAAAGAGAACCAGGTAGAAACTTCAGAGTGAGTGGTGAGAGTACAAAAAAGTGTGCATGACCCAATTAAATTTGATCTGCGCGGTGAGGAGAAACGAGGGGTGAGGGAGGATGCAGTGAAAACCACATTCATACTAAACGTGTACGTCAGTTGAGATTCAACTCCAACTGGTCACATTCACCTGGTCATTTCAAAAACAGGTGGCTAATTTTTTTAATTCCTGCCAAACGCCCGCCCTGCGAATCGTGCCAGAAGTATCTCATGTTATACAGTAACTAAGTCTCTATCAAAGTTCTTACATTTTTTTGTATCCCCTACTCCACTCTAAGTACCCTGGGACCCTTCCTCTTAGTAGAGCGCTTCTTCTTGTGGCCCTTGTCAAAGGAAACTGCGCTTTGGTGGTCACGACCAAAGTTGTCAAGGTCCTTGACCTTGTAAATCCTGATGATCCAGTTCTCACTAGTAAAGGCCTCCTCAATGGTGCTAAGCTCCGGACCTTGGGCAGGCAGACGCGAATTACGGACACGGTCCTGTGCTTGACCTGCAGGGAATAGCGCATTGTAGTTGTAGTAAGACATCTTGTACCTGGGGAAGCGGTCAGTATGTGAGATTCAAAATGATGGGCCAGGCAACTTACATCAAGCTGTTCTTCATGGCTGGCGTAGCTTGCTCGTCAACACGGTATTCACCTCGCGATGTGAAAAAGCTGCGCTCCTTGACCTCTTCAGGCCAGATACCCTCGGCAATCCTGACCATCCACAAGAACTTGTTAATGTCATCTCCGGAGTAGCCAAGAAGACCACCAAAGACCACCAAAACATAGTCGACTTCATGCTGGCGCATAATCGGGTAGCTGACCTCCTCACTGGAGCTCATAGCTTTACCAACGGTAGCAATGTGCGTGTTGTTCCACGTGTTGTTGTCCACGAGCGTGGGGCGGTCAGCCATGCCACCAATCTGGTAGCCATAATCCCACCACGCCATGACCTTTGCATCTTGAGGAGTGTTTTGCCTAAGCCAGTAGTACGCCTCACGATAATCATCAATGATGTGTTGATGACCATCAGGAGTACGGGATGCGAGCACGACTGAGGGCGACGAGTACGCATTTGAGGTGACCCATGTGCAGTGAAGAACAAACAGCACAAGGTAGATGGTGGAGGAACCGATGACAGTGAGTTTGGAGGCATAAGAGTAAATACCAACCAAGGGGCTGCGGGTGGATCGAAGGCCGCTTGGGAGCACTGCTGCCGCTGCAACTGAAGCCGCATCGGCGCTCTCCTTCTCGGTCTTGGGCTTGGGTGTCTTGGCGTCCAGGAAGGTGTCAAGGATCTGGGAAAAGGCAATGGCAGATGCAACACAAACAATGGGAGTTAGAGTAAGCATGAGACGGACCATGACACCAGCGAAGTAACTGGCAAGGACAGCGTAGATGACGATGAAGACTTGCTCGTCAGTCAAAGTGCGGAAGCAAAGGTAGACACCAGCAGGGAAGAGCCAGATCATCATGTTGAGATCGAAGAAGAACGCGGGCCAAGCGGTAGGCTGGTGTTCGGAGACAGACGCGATAATGGGAATGTGGATCTTGGCGTATCCAGTATCCCAGAGCGAGTAGAAACGGCCAGTCCAGGGCGCGATGACACCAGAGACGGTCAAAAGCACCAGACCTCCGACGCCAATGACGAAGACACCCAGAACCAGTGCGCGAAGAAGCGTCTGAAACTGCTTGCCTGGAAGCTGGGCGCGAACCCAGTCGACAAATGCGACAAGCTGGAGGAGACCAAAGACACCAAGAGCCGACATGTGCTCGCTACTGCGGATGGGCAGGAAACCGACAAAGGGAATCTGCATACTCGCAAGCGTGCCCAGGGCGTACCACGAAGTATAGCTGACGTACAGTCTCGGGCTGTATCGTCCCATGCAGATGAGAACGAAAGCGTGCAGAGGCAACAAGTTTGTGATGAAGACGTATCCACCCCACGCCGAGACCATATATCCGTAGAACAGGGCAGTCAGGGCACCCCAGAATATGGAGCCGATCTTGACAGCCTTGATCCAGAGGAAGAAGGTGAAGACGAGCAGGAAGATGGCAATGGCCTCGTTGTCGTAACTTCCGGCCACGGATCGCGAAATGTAACCGGGTGAGATACCCATGAAGGCGGCCGCAAGCAGACCAGCCGAGGGCGAGGGGACCATTTCCGAAGTCAGGAGATATGTGGCAAGCGCAGTGAGGCCGGAGAAGGCGGGGGCCAGGAGGACACAGATGTTACGAATGTCAACGGGGAGGGCAATGGCGCGGAGGAAGTGGTAGATGACGCCGCTGGTGACCATCAATCCGGGGTAGAGAGTGCCGCCAGTAACTCGACCCAGCGGGTGCCATGTTCCTGTGATATTGTGTCAGTCTGGGCTGTCCTGATTTACTAGCAGGGCGGAGAAGAGCGTACGGTCGTCGAACCAGTCCCAGAAGCTGTAGAAGCCATGCTGAACGAGGTACTTTGTTGCCCTGAAATTGAACCAGGGATCGACTGTGTCAATTGGTCAGCCCAAACTCGATGCAATTGCTCGGGTGGAATGCTAATTGCATCACTACTGACATTCGTGAATGATGCTCTCAAAGCGAATCACCGAGAACAGACGGCTGCTCACGGCCGCACCCGCAATCAGGCACAGGATAATCACTCGCAGCAAGCCTCGAGTGTTTCGGCCAGTCGCCTGCTTGAAGAACTGCCCGTCATCTACGGCGGCAGCCATGTTTGCAGGTGAAAGCAGAAAAAAAAAGAGAGGTCAAAGAGTGGTTTTGGTGGTCGCAATGGGCCGCGTCAACGATGAGAGCTATCGTGAATGAGCACACGTTTCCAACTCCGCGCCTCGGCACTTTGTTTCGCCGACACGCATGTCATCGCCCATCCTATCCTGACAGCTCCGCATGCTCCCCCTTGGCCCTTGACTGTAGACCATGAGCTACTTGATCACATCAGAACACCAGTCGATTTGAAAATTTCATGTCTGAATAGAGAGGAAATAAAAAATCATTTAAGAAATCTATTCACTGTTTGTAGGGGGGAATAAAGCGCCGCACATCAATATCCAGGACCCCTGCCCAACACCACTAGTAGAGTTCCATTGAATCCACCATCGTAAACTCCTCTGTAATGTACTTACAATTCCAACATAATACATGGTTACAATCTAGGCATGAAGGTTGAAGTGAGTTGCATGGTCCACCTTGACAGGAGCACTGCTTTACAATTAGCCATCAACAATAGAGTATGGGCATGGTGTGCTATGGACATACACAATACCGGGTCGAAAAAGTGTTCATTCTCCTCTTTTGCTTGCTCCTCGGATCCAGGTCACCAGCATTGTTAGGTGCAGATCGCTTTCTGTTGCCCTCATTACCAGAATATGGGGGTAACGATTGCGATAAGCTTGCACCCGTTGATGTCGGTGTCCAAGGTCCGTGTTCTAGTGGGGGAGGCGGAGGCGGAAGCGGATTATCGCTGTCACCCTCCCCTCCAACAGATGCGAATTCATTATTCTTTCCCCTCTCTTCATCTTCGTCATCATTTCGCATCCTCTCCTCGAGTAACTCTTTCTTGGTTTTGTTCTGCTCGACACATATCCACTCTTCAATGCTCTTTTTGTTGTTGTCTTGTTCCAAGTGCTCTGCTATGTGATCGAACCGTTCGTCCCACGCTGCATT